CTGTATTATTCTTATTTGGTGTATTATTTTTTGCAGTGATATACTTTGGTGCTTGTGATGGGGCTGTTATAGTCTTGGCAGCGTCGGCGTTTGCACCATGAGGTTCTCCTTTAAGACGGCCTCATTCCATGGCCAGTAAAATGCCAAAGGGTGACTCACCAGTCCACAGTACTTTAATCTGTCAGAGGTCCAGGCTCTGCGGTCCTTTGCAGGGTTCTCCATTTCTGTGGACGGGACTTAGGTACGAGCGCCGGCCGTGTTGTGATGTCTAGCAACTAGTTGAGTATAAAGAGTCAGAACCACAGACAGACCCTGAATGGCCCCTGGCTTTACCCCTGCCCTTCGCAGCCTGTATCCTCTTGTCTCAGATCATCAGGCTGCATGTATTGAAGGTGACACAAAGCCTGACTTGGGAACCAGCAAACGACCTCCTTGGGGACAAAGAGAAAACAGCATCTTCTTGAGAATTTGTCATCGAAACCGTTTTGCTGCTGCTGATCAGATTTGTGTGCAGCAAGGTTCTCCTGAAAGTCTCCCAGCAAGCTCTATAACTGCATGTATATGTACACCTGTGATTACAGCTGCACACTGCAGCAGTGCCGCACATTCTGCTAGGGGGCCAGATATCACTTGGAAAGCTGTCTGGACATCGTGAGTAATCACAGCCCCTCAGTCTGATATCTGGCATTTAAGCGACGTCAGCACTGTTTACAGGCCCCTCCACTTATGTAAGGGTGGCAGGTATTTTTACAGTCGTGAAGAAAGTGAAATCTTATTAGACATGGGTGGTGTATTAGAGTCCACGAGCCTCACCAGCGAGTGCTGGCTTGCGTAACCATTCGCGCACACAGCCCAGCGTCTGGGAGTGAAGGATTACCGGGGTGACTGACGTCGTACTTTGGGATTATCGGGTTGGAAGCCTCCCGCCCCTGCGAGTGGGCGTTTTGAGGCATGAGGGGGAGGGGCAGATTATGGTGGCTGGGCCTGCCAGACAGCCAGAGTGTTTTCCTTTGGCCATCTGCTCACGGTAGGGGCCTGGTCTGTGTGGGTCAGGAACCTGTTCTTCTACAGCTTCTTTCCTGTGTCTGGCTCACATTGGGCGCTCATTGATGTGTTGCACTGTTGCACTTCTGTTTTTAGGCCATTAATCTCTCTTACTTCCGGGACACTTTGATTATAAATCTTTCCAGCCACTGAACAGAGACCCAAATACGCGCTGTGCTACTGTCATACTGCGGAGTCGTGCGACAGATGCACACTTAAACCCAGCCCACCTTAGTCGTATTATCAGTGAAAGATTCCCATGTCGCACCCATATGCAATCCCAGCATGCTGAGTGCTGTCGGCAGACAGGGGCTGCTGAGTGACCGACTGAGGAATTCCATGTATAGGCAGTGGATGAGAAAGATAGCATCCAGTTCCGTTGGGTGGGGACGAATAGGCCCCTCCGCTCCCCTGCTCTGCTGGCCGGGGCCAAACAGGTGCCTCCTCTCGTCCCACTTTGCTGGGCCCAGCCAAACGGGCCCCTCCTCTCCCCTGCTCCGCTGGGTGTGGCCACACGGGCCCCTCCTCTCCCCTGCTCCGCTGGGTGTGGCCAGACGGGCCCCTCCTCTCCCCTACTCTGCTGGGTGTGGCCAGACGGGCCCCTCCTCTCCCCTACTCTGCTGG